TTCTTATAATAAATTCTATGAATTTACAATTCCCAGTTAATCCTAATATGATATTAATCAAATATTTCGAGTTTCTCGTCTCCATATACATATTTGGCTTCCCCACCCATTTGGTATCAGAGCCAGGTTGTTGGTTATACCATTAGTATCCGAATACTCTTTTTGTACCTAATTATCTTTCTGTTAATTTCCAGTTTATCTTATCAGTTTAATCTTCTTAGTGTTATCTCTTTACCATAAGGTATGAGCAGTAAGGCGTCATCCAAACAGTAAGTCCCGGAGGATAAGGCCTGAGCGGCACGCGTGACCTAGAGAGCTTGGTGATTAGATTCACTAGTAAGATTTTGTTGTTAAGATTTCTGTATTTTAATTGTCTGATTTTATTGGTATGAGTAGATTGTTTAGATCTAATTCTATGGCCAGCACTAGCTCTAGATCAAATTTAGGAACAATACCTGACATTGTCAATGAAGAACAAAAATATGAGTTTCAAACAAACAGTAGTCTAGATTTTGTTGAATGGAACATCCCAAAGGTATCTTCAAAAAATATTTATAAAAAGAAATGGGCATTAGCCTCTTTTAAAACTGAACATCATGTGAATTCTTTGGTTATTACCTTGATTTGTTTTTCAGACTCATAATGGTTTTCTACGAAGTCAAAGAAAAATATTTCGAGTCTGTTGGTTTGCATGAAGTCTTTCCATGCTTTGTGGATTTTTAATTTTTCTTCGGTAGTATACTTACTTCTGAAGATGTTTCGTCGAGGGACATTTTCTAAGGCTTCTATGTCTCTACAGAGTTTTTTACGATCATATTTAAAAGGTTCTTGTCTGGTTAAAACCAATAGTTGGTGATGTACTGGTTCTGCGTCAAAATCAGAAGCAGTTGGGGATGTTTGTTCTTCCTTAATAGGAACAGGTGGAGTTTGGTAGGTAGGGTGGACTACTTGAGCGTTTGTCTCAAGTGATTGAAGTTTAAAAGGTCAGATAAATTCTTGACCTTATGGAAGATTTGGCATAACAGGGTCAGATAAATTCTTGATTAGAACAAAATGTGTTTTGAAACAAACTTCATCTTGGCAGACATGTGCCTTAGGAAGTTCATATTTGATTTCCATTGGAGACTCATTAGCAGCACTAAGGATTTCCTTTGACTTGTGGAAATACCTAGTGGGAATTAGTCCTTCTTGAATACAATTTAAGTCTACTCCTGAATCTATTAATGCTATTGTTTCGAAACGAAAATCTTCGATTACTATCGTTACCTTAGAATACCATTTCTAAATTCTAATTTTGTGAAGAAGATTCAGAACTAAGTGTTCTGAAAGTTTGTCGGAATCTGACTCAGAATGACTACTGGAAGAAGAGGAACTAGATGGTTCTTCTTCTGGAGGTATATTGACTCTAGTGAGCTGTGTACGAATATCATTGTTATCTGATTTTAAAAACTTAATTTCATCTTTAATTTTATTAATTTCTTTTTGGAGGTCACTGACCGTGATTTCTTTCTTAGTCTTGCTAAACTTTGCTAGTGTAGAACTAAGAGAGATTTGTGGTTTCTGGATTTGGCTAGTACCTATGTCTTCTTGGGAAACCAAATGTTTAAGTTTTTTGAGGTAGAATTTATTAAGTTCAGGGTCCTCAACGTTGCTTATTAGCTCTAAGAGTAATTCTTCTTGTTTTTCTTGTTTAGTTAATACTGATATATTCTTACAACAAGCATCGGGGCATTCGAGCTTGATATCAGGGGTAGAGTTCTTACTAGAAGTGGAATGGTATGAAGATGATGAGGTAGAACCGAGATCATCTTCTAATGAGGGACTATTATCAGTATCCTGGAGTTCTAGGGTTTGGATAAGTTGAAGTTTTTCTTCATCAGAAATCTTCAACTGGCTTATGATTTTTTTTACTTTACATTTATTAGCGTAATGGCCTTCTTTGCTACATTTGTAGCATTTTCCCTTATGACTATTGTCTTTAGAGTGGAATTTTCCAGAGGATTTTCTCTTTCCTTTCCAATTCTTAGGTTTGGGGATTTCAAAATGGATTTGGTTTGGCATACTTACCTTTGCGATATTTGGAGTAGTAGTTACGAGGTTTAGAATTCTTGATTCTATTGAAGGTAGTGGATTTTTTCTTTTGAGGTTGAAAGGAGCTATAGGTGGTAAACCATATTGCTCACAGAAAGTTCCTAATTCCATATTTGGTGATAGCCTTTTCAAAAAATTGTGCTTTGTCTAGAGATTTTCATATCTATGCAATTTTTTAAAACATTTTTATTTCTTTCTGTATAGTTATACTTATCACCATGAAGATAAGTCCATAAGTAATACCTCTATCCTCTTATGCCTCCATGATGCAAGATTCACTGATTTCAGTGATAGCATACTCGGTATGGTTTGAATCCAGCCTTTTGTAATGGACCTATCCATTTCGATTAATTTTTCCAGATCTTCCTTACCATAATCTATCCATCGACCCATATATGTTAAAAGCACTTACACTAAATATCAAACTTCAGGATATAAGTCCTTGAAGGAACACAGCCTTTGGCTTTTTACAGAAGATTCTACTATAAAGTCACTGGCACACAAATAAATTTTTTTTTCAGGCTTTAACCAAAGTCCGAAGGATCATACTCTCTTGATCAAACAAATCAAGAGAAATGCCAATATTAAATTAAGTGGGTCAGAACCCAATTTGGGGTGGTCAGAATCAATCTCTCAGAATAAATTTTTCAAAGATGGGTGTCAGAAAATAAGTTCGGCCAGTAGCCATCCAAAAATTAGTCTAGTCCATGTTAACAACATAGAACAATTTGCTGACGATTGCAAAGTAGTAAATTAAATTAATTTTCTAAGATCCATTCTAATTTTGTGTTATAAAAACAAAGCAATTAATTTTCACTTCTAGAAGAATCATTTCTTTCCATCTTTGCTTTGCTCAAGAGAATTTAATTTAAATTTCTTGTATTTAATAGAAAAAAGAATAGTAGATATTAATCCATAGTCAATTAAAAAATTAATAAATAGCCTTTTAAGAACATTAGGTGGTCAGTAGAATAACAAACAATCTAGCCAAGAATTAATATTTTTTGATATAAGTCATCTGTGTCTTAATAGATATTGAAAATATATCAGATTAATTCATTAACAAAAACACAAAAACTTAAGTGATCAGTGGAAATTTTATTAAACGTTGAAGGCCTCAATTGGGAAGGGTAAATTTATGCGCTCGAAAAAGAGTTAATTTTGAATAAAATGACTTTTTTAAATGAATTATGATAGTTTTGTTTCATAATATTGTTAATATATTAAGAATTAATAAAGAAAAAATGTTATATAAATAAATAATATCAAAAAATCAATTTGTTGAATTTGATGTTTGTAGATTGAAGGAGTCCCTGGCCTGTGAGGTTACCTCTAAGCTTTAAGGCGCAAAAATTTGAACAAGTCAACAACATTATTCAATTGTTTATAAAATTATGACCTAGTATTTGTGTTGACATCAACTCCACGGAATATTAATTAACCCTAATATTTGAAGTCCATGAAATTCTTTTTCTTTATATGTCAAAAAACGATTTGGCATTGATATGTTTGCCGCCTTGAATTATTTTTCCAGAATATTTTCCGTTTGCTTAATTGAGGTAAAGGCAAAACTTCGTTAACACAGTGTGAGGTCTCACACCTCTATTAAGATATAGGTTGATCCAAAGTGTTCGGTATGACAAAATTGTTGTTTAGTAAGAAGTGCGTAATTCAATTAACACAATATTGCGTACTCAGTCTAAACAATCCACTTGGTAAACAACTAATTAATTGATATGAAATCATATTTTATCTCTGATTATGTAGATGTCCTATATAACCAATAAAATTGTGCTACCTTTCTTACGTAATTTTCAATTGAACAGCTAAAAACATGCGATAAATTTCTCACTTTTCAATGTTGAGATCGATTTTTCTTGTTTCAATCAGATTCAAATTTAAAACATTTTTGCCGAATATCCAAAATATTTTTTTTTTAAAGATAATTTTTTAGGCTGTTGGGGAAAGAATCGAGCAATTTCGATCGCAATTCAACAATGCTACAAGGAACCCATGAGATTTTTCGTTGAAAGGAACTATAGAGCATAATATTATGCTGATTACATGATAATCATTAATTATGAATCAGAAACTGATTTCCATTTTAGGTTAAAATGTCTGGTAAAGAGAGTTTCATTTCTCATTTTTTCGGTTGAGAAAGGAGAGACTTTCAAGAAGAGAAAAGCTAGCTGAAGTTTTGAAACCCTAGAGCAAAATAGGATAAAATGTAAGAGGTCAAGTCAAGAGACTAGAGCAAGACCAAACATAAACACGCCACAGAAATTATACGTTGTACACTAGAACGCATTTTAATTTCTGGAATTCGACAAACAGAAGCAAATTTTTTTCTACACTGAGATAGAAAATCTACCACAATCAAGAAAGCATCTATCAACGTAACCTTTAAACCAAATTTCGATTGTGGGTGTGGTGTGGGTCAGTGTAGGAAATTAGGTGGGGTGGATTAAGATAATTTTTAATTTAAAAAGTAAATGTGGGGCGTTTTAGTACATGGGGTGTGGTCAATAAAATGTGAGGTGTTAATAAAACAACCCTAGTAAGAATTGTATTTTTGTATTTCTATATCATGTGACTTCTAGCAAGATGTACCAATGAGAATTCTTTTTGGCGCACTGACAGAAAATCATAACAAACCCAAAGAGCATGCCGAAGGAAACCAACTGAAAATGCGACTTTGAAGGAACTACCGGACTCATGTGAAATTTATTCTCAACAATTTCACAGAATTTTCGGAAAACCAAATTGTGTTGCCTTTTTTTATTTATAACAATCTCCTCTTGTTACTATCCAGAGAGAGTGAATTCATCACAACCATAACAATCAAGCTTAAAAAAAAGTACCCCGTTAATCTATATCTCACTCAAACTTAAAAAAAAAACCGGAAACAATGAAATTCAAAGACTGCTGTGCACTGAAACCCTCTCAGCCAACATGGCAAGGTTGCCTAACTCTATCGGAATGGGATCAAGTCGGCGTCATAACTCATGTTCCCACAATCTACTTCTATAAACCAGACCATAACTTTGTCACATCATCTGACACCATCGCAAACACCCTCAAAGACTCATTAAGTCGTGCACTGGTGCCGTTCTATCCACTAGCAGGTCGTTTGCATTGGATTGGCGGAGGCCGCCTTGAGCTTGATTGCAATGCCGTGGGGGTTCGATTCATTGAAGCTGAGTCTAGTTCAAAACTCGACGACTTTGGTGACTTCTCACCTTCTCCAGAATATCATTATCTTATCCCAACTGTGGACTACACCCTCCCAATTCATGAACTTCCAATATTGCTTGTGCAATTGACTACGTTCAAATGTGGTGGTGTTAGTCTTAGCTTGGCAATATCACATGCTGTTGTTGATGGGCAAAGTGCATTGCATTTTATTTCTGAGTGGGCTAGGCTTGCAAGGGGTGAGCCAATTGAGGTGGTGCCATTTCTTGATCGAAAAGTCTTTCAAGCTTTAAACCTCCCAGCTGGAAGTGCTACTCTAGGGCTTGACCATTCAGAATTCAACCATCCTCCCCTTATACTTGGGCAAGCAGATAATATTGAGGAGAGGAAGAAGAAGACCACTGTCGCCATGTTGAGTCTTACTAAAGATCAAGTTGAGAAGCTTAAGCGGATGGCGAATGAGGGTACCAACTTCAACAACTCTGACACTAAGCGAGCTTACACGCGGTATGAGTCTGTGGCCGGACACATCTGGAGATGTGCTTCTAAAGCTAGAGATCACAAAAATGAACAGCCTACAGCTATGGGGGTTTGTGTTGACTCGCGGAGTCGCATGCAACCCCCACTGCCACAAGGATACTTTGGGAACGCAACGTTTGATGTAATTGCTACTAGTCTTGCTGGTGACTTGGTGACCAAGCCCTTAGGGTACGCATCAAGTAGAATAAGGGAGGCGATCGAGAAAGTGACAAACGATTATGTGCTGTCAGCAATTGATAACTTGAGGAACCAACCGGACTTGACAAGGTTCCAAGATCTTCAGGCTCTAGGGAGTGACCAGGGGCCTTTTTATGGAAACCCTAATCTTGGGGTAGTGAGCTGGTTGACACTGCCTCTATATGGTCTTGATTTTGGATGGGGAAAGGAAATTTATATGGGTCCTGGAACGCATGGTTTTGATGGGGACTCTCTGATCCTTCCAAGTCCTGATGGAAATGGTTCTGCGATTGTGGCCTTGTGTCTACAAGTTGCCCATATGGATGCTTTTAAGAAGCACTTCTATGAAGATATTATATGAATAACTTGTATTATGAGCGTGAAATTGATCATTATATTATGCAAGCGCATAGTTTAACTATCATTTCTTAATCAATAAATCAAGAAATAAGGAACTGATCTGGAAAGATCTCCGGACTTATCCTTGATGATGTACTCGAAAATTTGTACTAATTTCTTAATCAATAAATCAATTATCATTTCTCCTAAAAGTTGTTCTGTAGTAAGAATTCTTTATTTGTAATTATTTCGTATGTGGATTTCAAGTAGATATTACTACAGAACATTCAAGATATATACTTTGTACAAGTTAATTAACTACTTCATCCCATTCTACTGTTGCAAATAACTTAAACAAATTTAACCACTGAATATAAAACTTGATACATCACGTGACATTTTTCCTTTAGGTTAGGGCTGGTCATCTCTCCCTCTGATTAATTTTACGTCGTCATTTATTTTTTCAACCGTACCCTTCAAATGGTAAGGCAGCCAAATTTAGCTATGCAAATTAATAAATAGAGCAATTTATATATAAAGGATGTGTGTGAGCAATGTATCTCAGTCAGTTTTGGGATGTCATGGTTTCTTTGGTAACTTTAACGAAACTAAAGAAAAATCAGGAGTTCGAGTTTTTTAATGGAAAAAGATCGTAAGGAAGGAGACAGTAGATCATAAAAAAGGAGAAATTGTGAAAGCAATGTTCTTGAATTTTAAATGGTGGATTCTTATGGGGTTGTGTGTTCGTGAATATTGGGTCGGTGTCAGCGTGAGAAGACAACTTTGAAAATGGAGTTAACAAATCCAAGGAAGAGCAAAAGAAAGAATAATCGATTGCAAATTCAGATCTTATGTCATTGAACCAAAAAAGAAAAAAAAAGAACAAAAGGAGAAAAATACTACGTTACACTTAATTAATGGAGTTACAAGAGGTATATTTTTGAAGACCTAATTCTAAACAAATAGAATAAGTTTTCTTTTTTTTTTTTGAACAAATAGAAAAGTAATCTTGAACTCAAGTACAACTTAAAAAGAATCTTAATACTTATCTTACAAATAGGTTAATGTTGAAGAAAAATTTAGAGATCGGCAGGAGAGGGATGGCAAGAGAGAGAGAATGGGAGATCAACTGGTTTGTAATTGCTTTCGTTTCCTTGGCGGTCTTATACCTATATTTATACTAATCAAATGGGCTTTACTTGCTCTACAAGTAACACAAGACATAAAGAGATTTCATTCCCAAATCCTATTGGAATCCTACATTTATCTTTACACAATCACATTTCTAAGTAAGAATAACTACAACACTCCCCTTGAGTGTGTAAACCTTAAGAAGTAGTCGCATCAGGTCTTATTGGATGATTGTTGAAGTCTTCAAGCGGCATAGGCAGTTACATGCGTGAAACCTAAATTAAGGTTGCATTAAGGAAATATAAACTCACAAAAACCTGACAATGGTAAAACCCAAAGCGGAACAAAACCCTAAGTATTGTAGAAAAAAGTGAGTGCAAAGTCGAAGCTTGAAAAAACAAGCGGTGATTAATCTCACTTCAGGATATGACCAACCTAGCTAGGATAGGTGCCATATTTAAACGTTGTTATGTTAGCAAAAACCAATGGGAAAATGCTCGTAAACTAAGGTAAAATGAGTACATTAAGGTCAACTAGGTATCTACTAGATATTTCCCCTGAGCTTGACAAAACTCCTTATTTAGACTACAAGCAAAGTAATCGGACAGTTGTGATAGAAACATATTTATACGACTTAGTTAGCTTGTTCTTGTGCATTTGTGTTGTTATTTCTTAGTTAATTATGTATTTTAAGCTATTTTCGTGTGTTTGTAGGTCATAATAACAAAGTTGGCAAGAAAGTGCATTTTGGAGCATTTTTGAGCATTTTTTAGCCAAGATTGGATAGTGCAAGCATGGAGACATGAGGATAGACGTTTTTGAAGATTTGAAGGCTAGAAATCAGCATGTGTGTGTGCAAGTGTGTTGACCTACAACTCCAAACATCCATCCACTACACCCATTACATCTACTCATTACCACAACACTCACCCACTACACCCATTACATCCACTCATTACCACAACACTCACCCATTACACCCATTACATCCACTCATTACAACTCCATACACTCCTCTCCCTAGCCTATAAATACATCCACCCTTCACCATAATTTGGATTCCATCTCCATCCAAAGACACTACATTTCACATCTCACAACTCCATACACTTACACTTTCATCCCTTGCCGTGACCTCCATTTAGTCATTCCCATTTCTTGTGCCGCAACAAGGTGGTGAAAAAGAAGGTCCTTGGCGTTTCAAGCTTGAAGATTGGAGCGTTTTAGGTGTATTTCGTCCTTGCTTTCAATGTCTACTTTGTTATTTTCTAATTTTGTTGCAACTATGAGTGGCTAAACCCCTATTTAGTTAGGGGGAAGTTTGAAGCCATGAACATGCTTGAGATATGAATTGATTTCTTCCAATTGTGATTTGATAAGTTGTGATTGCAATTCAATTATCTATTTTATTCATAACTGATTCTTGTATGTTTATTAAGGATGCATACTTAGTTTTCATGCATGAATTAGATGCTAGAATATAAATGAGTTTCACCTAATCATTACAAGTTTATATTCATGAGTAGTGAAGGTTGTCTATCACAATCACGTTAATTGAATTTTTGGCAATTGTATCATGCATTCATAGTTATAATTACCTCGTCAACACTTATGATTTTCATTGAACGTAATGATCTCTGATTGTATCTCTATTATGCATTCATATAGGGGACTTTTAGAGAATGATTTGGGTTGTCGCATGCATTCATCCAATTCAATAAGTAAAGGAAAATCTGAGGGTTAATTTGTGCATCACGGTTAATCTGGGGTGTTGAGTATCATAGTTTAATGAAAAGAAATTGGAAATCGATTCATGTACAAGTGTGTCATGTGTGAATAATGGACCTCTAACTAATCCATCCATCATTTTATTTCTCAAATTCATTTTATAATCTGCCTAGTTTTATAACTTGCTTGTTTATTTCAAATTCATCCAAATCAAAACTCCCATTTTACTTTCTTGTTCCAAAGTGTTTAAAATCTGTTTTGTTTGTGTTTTAGAGTGTTTTGAGTCTATAGAGTCTAGTTAAGTGTTTTTAAGTTTCTTTTTGTAAGTCAGTTTAGTTTAGATTAGCAATCCCTCCTAATCCCCGGTCCAGAATGATCCCTACTTATACATATACTACAATTGTCAAAAGAGGGTTTAATTTGAGTGCTTAACTTTCATCGCATAAAAATTTGGCGTCGTTGCCGGGGATTAGCAATTTTGCTAATCCCTTGTTATTTCTTTTTGTTTATTTTCATGTTTTTTGTTTTAGTTATTGACTTTGTTTCTATTTGTGTCTCTTATTTTTACTTATGATATTTGATTTACTTTTGTTTCCTTGATTTCAAGCACTAGAGAAGTAAGACATGGATTTTGCTACTATTCAAGCTCAATTGGCGAAACTTACTTCTCAATTGTCACAATATGCCGAAAGGACCACAATGCAAAGTGTCCCTACAGATGGTGTGTCCTATGGGCAAGGATATCCAACTCATCAATGTTCTCAATTCGCTGCGAATGAAGATGCTTGGGGTTATCAAGGCCATAGCCAATCAGGGGACAACATGTTTTCCAACACTTACAATTCGGATTGGAGAGATTATTCAGATTACATGTGTGGAGAACCACAACAATTCCAACAAGATGGATATTGGCAGCAAGAAAAGGAGTTCTATCACTGGCCATATGAACCATCACAGCCACCACAACAATCTGCCCAATTCAATTCAGGTACATCTTTGAATAATGATAATTTTAATAAGTTACTCACCTCTTTGAACCAGGATATAGAAAACTGAAACAAAGAGGTGCAAAAATCAAGCCAGGAAGACGAGCGAATTGGAAAAGCAATTTGGGCAAATTATGGAGTTCACGGTACAAATTCAAGAGCAAAGTGAATTCTCCAACTCAACTGTTGAAAATTTGAAGGAAGATTTTGAAATCCATGATGCTATCACTTTGGGAAGTGCTATGGAGGTTGGAGGTGAACCGAAGACATCCAAACCAAGCCAAAACATGGATGAACAGCTGCTGCTCGAAGAAGAGGAGAATACAAGGCCACGACAAGGGAAGAACCACATTTGCCGCAGCCCCATATGCAGTGGGAGGTCAAGGGAAAGTCACTAAAGCTCAAGGGAAAATCTTATAGGACAACAATAAGGCCAACAATGCTTTTATGGCACAAAATGTTGGGAGGTCAAGCATTAACACGTGGAAAAAAAGAGTGCAGCGAATATGAAAATGCTTCGTTAGAAGTGTGGGTGTGGATGCAAATTTCTTCCTCATTCTTCTTGGACAAAATTGCACCTACAAAACAATCAACACCTTAAGGTCAAGGCCAAGAGCATCACACGCCCACGATGAATGGGGGAGGGGGCTTTGGCCGAAGAACCTCCGATGCCAAAGTTAGAATTTTAGAGAGAAAAGTGTTTAGAGAGTTTTTGGAGTTTTGCAAGAGTGTGGAATTAGGTTTGTAGAGAAAATGGGGCTCAATATATAGAGTATGGCTGGTCCCCTTTGGAGAAAAGGTGGCTGGCCTTTGGGATTTTTTTGGGTGTATTTTGGGGTTTAATGTGTGATTTATATGGCCATTAATGGATTAATTAGGCAATTAATCCATTAATTAGCCAATTAACACATTTTTAGAAAGAAAGTTTTGGATGTTATGGAATGAATAAAATAAATAGCTAATTGATTAGCTAAGAAAGGGTAAAAAATATATGAAATGAAATAGGTTTTGGGAGTTACCTTGTAGAAGGGATTTGATGAGATAGGTTGTGAATTGTTACCTATTTTGGGCACTTTTGACTTGGTTGAGGGATGATTGCCCACTGCTTGCGCGTAGGAATCCCGTTATATCTCAAGGGTATTTTTGTCCTCTTTTATCCAAAAATTCACGTGTTGCTTGTGATTATTTTTGGCTCCACAATGGGCACACGAGAAAGGAAAATATTAAGAACAAGGATATCCAATGTAAAGTATGGATGACCTGCAATTGAAGATAAGATGAGATAATCGGTTAAGATGGTTTGACATGTGAAACAAAGATTTACTGACCCCATTTAGTAAGATAAGGTTTTGTTGTTGTTGTTGTAATCCGGTTTTTCCTTTAGAACTGGACTTTGTTTTTATTTTAGTTCAAATAACTAACAATAAATATAAAGCCCAACCAATTAATCAACTATTAAATAAACAGTTTATATGAAGTTCAATCTTCACTAATTTTATTCTCTGATATCATTCTATTGTGTATGACCTTGTAGTGGATATCTGAGGATCCGTATTTTTAAAATTGCATATTTACTATAATTATTTTTATTAGAAAATTAATATTATATTAGTGGATTTTTGTTATAGGTGTTGTTTTTATTTTGACTCATTAGACTAACTAGATCTCATCCATTCATTTTTTCACTAGACCACCTATCAATGTACCTCAAGCATTCCTACGAATACAACACCTGCTCTTCTCACTTCATGCAAACTGTCAGCGGCACCTACCATTTCTTCATTCTCATCATTTTAGCAATATGTGCACTCTATTGTGTTGATTGTATGCAACTATAACCTAATTTTACATAACTTGATTAATCAAAATAATCAAATAATCTAATTTTACATAATTAGAAACCATTCTATTTCAACATTATAGAAATATCCACACATCGAATAGTAACATCTAGTAATGGATTTTTTCTACCCAAATTAGTGAAAGTATGTTTGAATTCATACAACACATATTTAGAACCTTAGTTATGATTATAATGCAATTCGGTTCATCTGCCTACTATATTCCAATCATATACTTTAGAGCAAGGAACCATTATCAATTGTATGTATAAATATAATCACTATTGGAACCACATTCAAGCACCGTCGTTGATTGTGGACATGCACAAAGATTATAGGAAACGTATCGATTTATTGCTGGATTGGTTTCAGTATCTTATATAACAAGCATGGTCAATCTCAACAAAGTCATCGAACTTCACCCACTAATCCAAAAACAGGATGACAGTGGCATAGTTGTTTCATTTATTTAGCTCCACAACGGAGGTTGTTGAGTCCAAGACTGGACTTTTGAGGTATGCGTATTCCGAACTGCCTTACTTTAGCACTGAAAAATCATGGTCCCACTATCACCATGATGTTTCTCATGTATGTTGCTTTGGCCAAAGACTTTTGAAGATAGAAAATCAAAGGGTTCTAGGAATATCTACCTTAATAATTACCTAAAAGGTGATAGATTCCTTGTTGTCATTCACATATCTCCATATTAACACACATCATCCTGAACCTCACAATGTAAAGCTCCACTATCGTTTGAGAGCTTCGAGGTGAGGCGAAAGATGACCAATAATGCCTCAGGTAAGAACTACTTGCATCCATACTCAAAAGTGTGGTGTGATTGACAAGTAGGTAATCTTTACATGCATACACTCTATGTTAGTCAATGTTCAGTGAACTTAACTTCGTAGATGAGCACATTTATATCTATTCCATGCCAATACATGCTTAGTCTTAGACTTACTATTGAATATGTCATAAATTGGCCTTTGTGGATGTTAGATAGTCAATTCTATCATTTTATGGCTAAGAACATGATTTAGGACTTAATATTTGTAGGGAACATATCTTAGGATTGGAACTTTGTTGTAGTCTCATCCATACAACTTATGGTATTCCTCGGATTCATCGTAATGAATAACGAACTTTCCTTATCTGCTATGAGGTCATGTGCTCTATTGACGGATGTTCTCACTTGCCCTTGTCGTCAATGACTCGACATTGGGTTGCCACAAATAACTATGTTTTGCCACAAATAACTAACTATGTGTTGCCACATCAATTGCTTTTATGGTATACTCCAACATATATTGTTTTCCTTTTCCAATAGATGCTTTTACATGAAATCCACTTTATCAAATATCTTCAAAGCTCAACAACTTTTTTCCAGAATGTGGAGAATACAACGCCTTTAAGGTAAACATCGTACCATTGGACAATATTAGATAGGCATTTCACTGCCCCTCGATCAGGTTGGATGGGCTTGAGAGAGTTTTTAGAGACAAGGTTTTAGGTATGAAGTTAGTGAAGTACTTACAATCATGCAAGATGATATGTGTCGTAGCACTATCAACCATACAACTAACTTCCACACAAGACATACCATAGTCAAATTTAATTGAATCGGTCACATTTATAAAGAAAATTTAAATTCAATTAAATGATACTAGAAAATCCATAATAGTATCCAATTTAATAATAAACTGAAATAGAAACACCAAACCTAGAAATCCACAATCATAAAATTGTTCGCAAACTTAGACCAAAATACTAGCAAATTTCGGCCAACATAGGGCCCCATGTCTAAAAATCTAATCTTCCACAAATGCAACATCCTCTTGAAAATTAGAAATCTCCAACGTTGTATCACCATGATTCTCGACTTGGATGAAACTTGACTCTTGAGCAAAATTGGCCTCCCTAGCCTGCCTCTTGGTGTGGTATTATTTCAGTACTTGTGTCGGGGCTTTGCAAACCTTAAACCAACGGTCAGATCAGCCACAATGGTAACACATAACAAGGTTAGCAAAATACTCTTTCACTTTACCTTATTCTTGAAGTCTTGAGCCTTAGGAGCTAAAGAGTCGGGCTTAGGGCCATAACTCAAACTATTTGCTTGGCTTTGGGTATGTCTGCTCGTATTCGCAAACTTGGGAGACTTGTCCCTACTATGACCCCTATGCAGTGCGCTTGCATTTGCTTATTGCAAAGGAATATTATTTGAGCTAGTAGAGCGAGACTTATGGTTTTTCATCAAGAGCTGGTTGTTCTTCTCAGCTACTAGTAAGGCAGATATCAAATCTAAGAACTTTTAAAAGTTTTGTTCCCAATATTGTTGTTACAAGACAATATTCTCAGCATCGAAGGTGGAAACGATCTTTTCCAAAAGATCCCTATCAGTTAACACCTCATTACAAAATTCTAGTATGGATCAAATTCGACAAACTTCATAATTATATTGGTTAAAAAATTTAAAGTCTTGGAACCAAAGATTAAGCCAATCATGCCTCACTTGTGGCTTTTGTATATACTATTGGTGGGTGAAACAATCAGTCAAGGTTTGCTAAAGAGCATAAGGGTCCTATTCCACGAGGTACTCCGTCTATGGAGCATCATGCATATGCCTTCTAATGAAGATCATAACGAGTGCTTTGTCAACTTTGCTTGCTGTATAATTAGCCTCGATCACATCTCTCAAGTTCTTAGCAACTAGGTGGAGCTTCTTGCCTTGCACTCACTTGAGGTAGGTTGTACCAAACACCTCTAAAGCGGTAAAGTCAATATTGTTGAGATTTGACATTCTATGAAAAAGCAAAATGTGGAGTCAGTGCTTGAGTATAAATCCTCTAAAGCAATCAACATAGACATGAAATGGTCTAACAAATTAATGATGAATATTCTAAAACCTTAAACATGAGTGGCGCATATTTGGGAAATAAAATTTCTATAACATGCTCTACAACTCCGTGCACGAGCTTTATGAACCTTTGATCCATACTACATTAAACACGCACGCGCGCACACACACATACATATATATATATATATATATATTTGTGTGAATGCAAACAATTTATCTCATCATATATCATCCAAACTAATTTAATTAGCATCCATGAGTATGGGAGTCAACGAGACTCTCAATATGCATTTCCAATGCGTTAGATATAAACTATGTGGCACAAGGCCCATCACGGCAATGAAGGGTTTCATTTGGGTCGGGTCCGTCAATACACCATGTATAGCCCGCGGAAGATACGTATGGGTTGAGTGTGCATACCCTAGACCGGCGGATCCGGGTCATTATCCCGGCGTGGATGACAGCTTCGCTTACAATTGTGTCACCACAACGTGGCCAAGTGTAGCTCAAGGCCACCATTGTCTTCCTGCCTATAGTTCATTGAATGGGGAAAGAGAGAGAGAGTGCCATGGGTTGAAAATCTAATTTTTCATGGCAGGAGAACAAACATTGTTAAGGAGGAAGGCCGTAGGAGACTAGGGCACCACCGAAGATTGGGCTCGACGATGGTGGCTTTGGTAGCCACTAGGGTTTGCAGTTTTGTTCGCTGCAAACCCACCGATATTGGCCTCGTTGAAATCAACAGTGGTGTAGTGAGTTCCATCAAGTTCCGTTCAAACCCGGGGAAAATGATGTTCATCGACAACAGAGATCAGAGATGGAGATTTTGGTCATCTACGACGACCTATAGTCATCGGTGGTGTCGTTTGGTCTTTGTGTGGATGTACAGCGTGCGCTGCGTGATTGGAAGCCACGGCTTAACACGTGGGTTAGGGTTTTTAATCAGAAAAACTAATGAAAAGGGTTCGAAAACTTTGAGTTTTAATGATAAGGACAAAATAAAGGGTAAAGTGAATAGTATCATGTTTGACTTTTTAGTGTAAAAATGTGGTTTTTCGTTAAAGTGAACAGTACCGCGGGCTTTTCGTTAAAACTCCCTTTTTAATCCCTCTTTCTTTTGATTATTTTTTCATGCTTTTCCACACACAATTTAATTAAGCAATCCAATATCAAATCACAATAATCCATCGCAAACATAGCAAGATATATAATCCGAAATTGAGAATAGAATTCATGGTTCATGGGATGGTTAATATGCATAAACGCTTATAGAACTTTGACAAAGATAAAATATAGAAAATTCATGGGTGTCGATTGCGTAAATACTATTCTAGAGCGATCCCCTCCTTCGAGACACAGTTCAGGTTGATAACATGTTGAAGGAAAACAATCCTTATGCCAATAAATTAAGTTGATGTTATTAGTTAAGAATTATGTTGCCCACAAATTTATAATTTATGTTCAAGTGATCGAAGTAGTAAATAAGTAAAGCTAGTGAAATACATTGACTATTTAGTACCATAGTCGGATAATAGAAGGCCATTTATTATAAGTGTTTGATATCAATAAAAGGATTGATACTCAACTAGGTTTGTTGTGAATTTATGTCAAGTTATTAATTTAGACTTACGAGAGTTTCTTCCAACACTCTTCTATAGAAAAACAAGCAAACCAAACCAACGAAAGTCGTATGTAACAAGTTGATGTTGTTTACTATATTTAATCAAATCTTATTGGATCTAAAACTTGTATGCTTTTTTGCGAGTATCACAAATAGTTTGAGAACATAGTGCGAGAATCAAAGTTTTTTATTGTGGTAACACCAACATTTGTTTAAAAGAAAGTGATTATGGCACTTCGTTGGCTACTTGTGAGGGTGCAGAGAAGTCTTGAGCAATGAACTTCAGTACTCCTTCTGGCGGGCACTTACACATAGTGTTGATGCATGAGCATTTGGCTGGGTCAGGACATTCAGCAGATGTTTTGCAGGGAAACCTCACTATTGGACCCCTCGCTTCTACTCCAATTTGTAGACCTGCAATATCATTATTTCCTTAAGTAATATTGAAATTGCATTTTCTACTTAAATACTAATTCATGTAGAACTTGAGGGTTTTTTTTCTCCGATCAATTCAACTTGAGAGTTAAGAAAGCAAAATACATAAACATGTATATCTCGTCTATGTAGGGATCATATAGTAAAAAGTATTAGAGACAAGTATTTTACCATATGCAACAATCAACAGCACAACAAAGAAGGCTAACTTGAGTGAACCTTTCTCCATGTCTCTTTGTTGATAGATAGAGGCAAAAAATTATGATGATTGTTGAATTGTATTCTTCTTAAACTTAATTTTGAGCTACTAGTGTGCTCCAAAGCTACAATTATATAGTTGAAGTTGGGATTATTTTCTATAATTGTACATCTATCTCGATAAAAAAAATATTTCTTTAACAAATTGGTTGCTGCATAAATTTGTAAAGAAATCTGTTCACCAAAACTTTATAGTAAAAATGTTTGATAAAATCAGATTGCAAACCATAGTAGTTCATTTTCATGCATGAAATAATTATGTCTAAAGTTAGTTAGATTCGCATTGAAGCTATGTGATTCTCAAGTAACTAGTGCTCTTTAAACTAAAGATTTTATATAGCTATATTTTGGATTACTTTCTTAAAATACATGCCTAGATATAGTGAAATTCAATTTTGGATTACATTCTTGTTTAGACTTGAAATAATAGTTTGGGTCGAGAATGGGCTAAATTAAGTTTAAAAGTTATGATTCTCGACCTAGTAATGATCCCTCAGGCTAGTGGGCTTTCAACCCAAAAGAGAGTATTGATTCGGCCAAGTCTTTGTAGGAATATGACTATTAATGGATCAAGCTCTTGTGTGGCTTGGTCGAGTGTTAAGAGAGTTAAAATGACCAAAGATTAAGCTGAATTCTGATAAGATGCGAATCATTTTAGGGATCAAAATTCATGCTTGATTAGTTCAGAGTTCTGGTTCAAATAAAAAAGTTGAATCCACTTTTATAATAATTTTTTAGTAAAAAAAATTAAATTTAAAGGGAGTAAAGTCAAAATTTTAGTAAATTTTATAATAGTTTTTTTAAATACCTTGCGCGACGAATGTAATTGTTGTGTAAAAGCACTTTGCACGACATCGACGTCAAAATGTATCCCTGCGCTGCGATGCGCCGTGCTATTTGTGATAATTTTGACGGTGAAGTTGTAAAAAATAGGCGCTTCTTTTAAAATTTTCCTAAGTTTGGACAAAATTTTCCCAGACCCGAACGCTCTCTCACTCGGTCTCTCTCTTCCCAAGTTTGGACAAAATTTTCTTTTCCCGTTGCCTTCCTCCTCATCTTCTTTCCATCGCTCCCGACTGCACCCAGCCAGCAGGTATTGACCCAGGTATCTATATTTTCTTAATTCTTAATTTTTCTTCTTTCTAAGGTCAGAATCAAGCTTTAATGCCTTAATTTGAAGATTTTGGTATTGTAATTAGATTCAATTTGGAAAATTAAATTAGAAATTGGGGATTTTAGTGTTAAATCGAATTTTAGGGTTTGAGTGTTAAATCGAATATTAAGATGTTGATGGTGTTGTGCGTTGTGAGTGTGAATGAAAAACCAAGTAAACTTTGATAAATTTGACATCATGAATCTCTGGGTGTGACAAGCATTTGGAAGAATTTCCGTGTATCGGATATCGTCTCTGTGTATGGTTTTTTCCCCCCACCTCTTTAGGGTGGTGGGTTGGTATGCCAGGTATGTCTGATTTATTTTTCTGTTCATACAAATTTGCTGCAGTTGAAAGTTATTGGTCTTTGTCTTACTAAAAATTGAAAATTCCTTAGGTTGCTCTGACATGCATGGCAAAGTTAAGAGATGACAGATTTTTATTTACTGGTGGTCTTAGTTCTGATAGTTTGGCATGTCTTGACATTATCATGGCAAAACAATTACCAAATGGAGCTTGTCACTCAATCCTGTTTAAAGCTTACGCTGGCAATTCTTAGACAAGAATCATCAGAAGCCTTAAGGAGACGGTATGCTTGTTCAAGATGTCCCGTCAACCGTTCTGCAATTCTTGCTGCTTGATGAGCAAGATGGTGATGATATGGATCTCCAGAAGGTGTCTAGTTTCTATGATTACAAGGCAATTTGCACTAAATATCATCTGGTGGAAAGGATAGCTTACCAGGTGTGATACTACATATGTTATTTTCTCTGATCAACTGAGAACTGGCAGAACTTGCTCGTGCCAATTTCTCTATATTAAGGAAAGAAGCTCAGTCTATTTTGGAATAATTGTTTGGTATCTAGTTGAAAATCTTGCCTGATAATTTTAGGATATGATGACCTATGGAAGGAGTTGGATCTGGAGTATAATTCAAGTGGAGAGTTCTTCTGTAAAAGATGTTTTGCTTCTAGGAAGGTTCTGCAGTATCTAAATGAGATAGATTGGGGTTGTTTGAAGATAGTTTGTGCATATCAGCCACATCTATTTGAGCAACTGATTATTTAACTACACATTAGTTTTGAGTGCATCCTCTTCACACAGACTTGCATGCACTACTAAATTGATATTGCTTTTGCAAATACTATATTTCCTATCTATTTATCTTTTGACATATTTTTCTCTTTAACCATGAATGTTCAGGTAATAAAGGATGCTACTGAAGGCAGTGAACTTGGGAAACAAATGGCACTCTATGTTTTGGATGCATTGTTTTGTGTAGATCATGAAAAATATTTCTTAAGCCAGCTTCAAAGCAGGGGTTTCTTAAGGTCTTGCTTAACAAGCATCAGCAATTCTCATCAGGTTCTTGTTTAACCAACTATAAAGTCCAATGTAAGGGTGGTTTTGATTGTATGATACTAGGCATTATTAGTTTTTGTTTGGCACGTTCAAATTAGCCAATTGAAAGATCTCATGTTTTCAACTTTTTAATTAAGCATAAATTTTTAGGCAATCCTATTTTGGTGATACCAACACCATCAGCACTCTTACGAGTCTTTGCCTTTACAATTGTTTGAGGACCAACCAAAGAGTGAGTCGTCTTCCAACTTGGGACCCTTGAGATGTAACCTCACTCCCCTCTCATTCATCACTCCTCTCAAAGACAGAATATTCTGTACTCCAACTATTTTCTCACTTCTTCAATAATAGTAACATCCAACGCTTCATTAGTTGTGTGTGAACCACCTCTGTCATCAGGTACAGCATTTTCTGGTTAATCATGCATACATGATATATATCGATCTCCAAACATGCATTGAATAAATTAGAGTGGTCCAAACTTAATTAAGATTTCCAGTTATAACAAAGTGAACTACAATGCTAGGACCACTGATTTCCAATTCTCACTGATTTCCAGTTATAGCACACAAGCTCTGGATTGAACAACCCGAAAACTTCCCAACTTGTCTCGCCATAAAGCCGTACCTGAAATCCGTGGTATCCGCATATTTTAGAAAGTTGAAACTCTGTAAGTGATGTTAATGTCATCCTCATTAATGCACAGCCATGAATTGATTTGTATACGACTTTCAAGCATAATGTGTTCGTTTATGAATAGCTCTTTATCCTTATCAGTTTTGCTTCCCCTTTATGTTGAATGTGTTAGAATACAGTTGATTAGCAGTCTGATGTCACACTGTTCCTTCGTGTCATTTACCACCATCCAAGTTTAGATTCCTGTTTTCCTACTTTGTCAATTACCATAGCCATCTCTTTGCTTCGTTGTAGTTCGCGTGTTCGTTTGGTACCTTGTAACGAAAACATGTGGGGATTAAAAAGGAAAAAATTAGCATCAGAAAAAGAAACTCGAATGCTAATGGTGTATGTATTGGCTGTTTGGTGTTTTGATCATGAAAATTTTGGAATTTACAAAGTTCAGCATCTTAATATAGGTTGAGGTCGTGGATGATGGGAATGAGGAGTACTTTGACCCTCTCAGACCATCTCCAATTCTGACCTAAAACCTAAAAATATTTAGCCAGAAAATTTAGGTTTTAGCCAAGAAACAACTTTTTTACTCTAATCCTTTTGGCTTAAAATTTTAGCCCTAGATTATCAAAAAATGAATTAAGAATAATTTTTTTAAATTAACTTTTTATTTAAAAAAATTATGTAGACTATCCTAAATTAATTTTATAAACATTTTAACCTAAAAATATTTAAATTTCGATAAATTTTGAAAAATCACTAATGATATACATGAAAATCATGATAAATCACATAAACTTAATACAATCGAAAACTCATAAACTACATAAACCTAATAATGATATCCATCATCTTGACTTGGTGGTGGATTTGGGTGATAGTCTTGAGATGAATTATCATCTTGAAATATACTCCTTGTGGTATTCCTTCGTAAAATTTCTTTTTGCTTATCGCGTAAGTATCTCTTCCTCTCTGGAGTGTATTTGTCGAGGTCCTCCATTATCAAATTAGTTTCGTACCTTTCTTGCTCCCTATCCCCTTCTTGCTTCATGGCCAAAAACATTTGGGCCGATTCTTCTTGCCGACGACATTGATTTTCATTCATTCTTGCCATTTCGCAAGCAAATTGTGCACGTATTGGATCTTAGGACTTCTCTTTTCTCTTTGCTTCCTTTTGCTTATCTCTACCCGAGGGCCTTGGCAAAGAAGAAGTTGGGCTCATTTGGTGGATACCTTCATTGTCGGCAAAATTCACACCTTCATTGACATCATTTGGGGGTGGGGCTTCACTATGAAATAATCTTCCACATTGTTGATTCGCATCGATTCCCCACCTCGGACAATCCTTGAGGATGTTCCAAGCATGATGCAATTTAAAAGCTTGATTTTTTGGTGTAGTTCTTGTTTTGTAAATTGTCATTGCTTTGTCACCCTATGCAACAAATACATAAAAATAATTGGTTGCAAAATACTATTATGTACATGACAAGTAAAATATCAACAAAGAAACTCACAATTTCTGAGGCGCCCCTTCCATTAGGCATGTCAACCATGACTCTCTCCAAGCTTCCCTTCCACAAAGTGCACGCTTTGTTGATAATCTTCCACCGATTATAAACACCACCAACTTCCCTTCGACCGGCGTTGGAGTTTTCATGGAACTTATCAACGATTTTACCTCACAAATCCTTTCTATTTAGATTGGTGGTGCCGACGGCACCATCTTCACTAACATAAATCCATGCCAAACATAAAACAATATCTTCATCAAAGGTCCAATTACGACCTCTAACATGCTCTGTTGCCATCTTGAAAATTTTGGAAATGAGAAGAAATTGTAGAAAGAAAAATTGGAAGAATTGTAGGAGAAAAGTGAGTTTTGTGTGGATGTTTGAACAAATACATAGGTATTTATAGCGTTTTTGGTTGAATTTTAAGTTAAATAATTTTTTTTAATTATTTTAGCCGTTAGATTTAAATTTGGACTGTTGGATCTTTTTTTTTTTACCGTTAGATTTGATTATATTCGATCTAAGCCGTTTGATTCAGAAGGTCGGATAACAATGCCGAAGCTTCTAGAGAGGATTTGGTGGAAATTGAAACCAGTTCTACTGCAGGACTCTGGTGAAGCTTCTATTCAAAATTTGTCTAAAGAATGGGCCTGTTTTTAAGAGATCCCTGATGCAGAGGTTTCCAGTTTCCAAAACAGTTTTGACTTATTCAGTAAGCATTTGACGCTTCTTGATTTTATTAGTTCCACATGCTGTTTTATATTCAAAAGTATGCAATCTTCTGAGGCTTCATGTCGTCTTAAGTAATTGTCAAGCTAGCGAGCATGTTTGGTCGTATCTTTTAGATGGTGGAGCCCATTTGTGACGTCAGTTTCGTTTCCGTGTATTTTGTAATGACATAGAGTTTGATGTCTGAGTTCCTAGAAGAATTCTTTTTCAATTGCTGCTAGGTATTTTTCAAAACACAACCGTTAAGCATCTTAGCTACTGGGACTTGTATTCTCACCTCACTTTCATATTCTGTATTTTTTCTATATTGAAATAGAGTTTGAATTTTTGCGTTTCCTGGATGAATGTTACTCCAATTATTGTTGGCTAGTTTTCGAAACCATGAAGAATAATATGGGTATTCACAATGTTCTTATCATATATCGGTTTCTACAAGTGTTTTCCTTTCTTAGGTTTTCGAAAAGAAATTTTGGTTTTCCATACCTTCTATTCTCATCCAGCTATTTATTTCCCTAAGTTTCTCACTGCAAGCTATAACCTATCTTCTAACTATTTATTTTCCTTTTTCTTATTACTTAGAGATGTCCGACATGATGAAAGGCAGGAAAGTATGTCAGCCTTCTTTGCTTTGTTCCAACAATTTTTTGGAACAAGTATTCTTATGACAAGTATTTTTGTTGCTCAACTAGAGCAGCTATGATAATCACTTTGATTTGTTTTACTGATATGAATTTACAGCACATGAGAAATCTTCGACAAGTATGCATTTGGAGGAACTGGAAGATCCAGAAAAATTTGCAGAAGAGGGGGGCAAGGTCATCACGGGCCAAGAATATGTTTCTCGGTTGCATGAACTTAAAGCTGAATTAACTCATGCATGGCATGTCGATGATCGTGTTACATCTCTGAAATTATCAATAGAAGTACATTTTAATTGATAATTCAGTTTACCCAATTAATCTTTACCTGGAGAGAATTTGTAATAGAAGACAACATTAAGCATCAAACCTAGAAGACTACTTCTTATAGGTTTATTTTTTTTATTTTTTATTTTTTATGTTTGGACATCTTGTATGTACATTTTCATATATTTTATAATTAAATACTTTTTCTTGGTTTATTAATTATTGTTTATAATTTAATTACAATATTTATAAAAAATTAAATAATTTTTTTTTTGCCAAAAAAAACAAGGGTTTGCGCAACGCAGGTGGTCTCTTTATTTCGCAAAGTGACTTTGCACGACGAAGAGAGCTTGCATCGCGCAAAAACATTTTGCGTGACGAAGAGACCACCTGCGTCGTACAAACCCTGCTTTCATTGTCTTGGCGCGACGGTTTGTGCGCGACGAAAGTTTCGTTGGGCTAATTTGCAGGCAATGTTTTTCGACTTCGCGAGACAAAGGTACCTGCGTCGCGCAAACTGTTTTTTGTACTAGTGAATTTATTATTTTCTTGCATTTTATTTTCAAGTTTTAATTCATTTTAGTTTAATTCAAAATTCTCCATCATAATTTGTTTCAATTTAATTAGTAAGATTTTTTAGAATCAATTCAATCTCTGTGGGAAGATATCTGCGCTTATATGCTATACTGTCATATGATTTGTATATTTGCGAGCACTAAAATTTGAGACTTAGAAGGGTGTATTCAATTGAGAATTTGAGAGATTTTAATGGATTTATAAATTCATGGATTTTTATAGAGTTTAATTGATTTGTAGAGATTTCGTATAAAATTTTGATTCAATTCTTTCGAAAGAGAGGTGACATTTGTGAATGCTTAAAATACACTATGAAATCTCTCCAATTCCCTATAATTCCTCAACTTTCTCAAATTCTTTAAAATCAATTTCTAATTGAAAATTTATTTAAAATCCTAATTGAATACATCTGAATTTCTAAGGATTTTAAAAAATTATCTTAAAATTCTAATTGAATACACCTTGAACTTCAGATAATCACTTAAAATCCTGATTGAATACCCCTAAATTCATTAAAAGAATTAAAATCCCTTAAAATCCCAATTGAATACAACCCCCTTAAGACCATCTCCAACCCTTGGGCTAAAAGCCAAATTTTTTAGCCCGGAAAATTTAGCTTTTAGCCCAGAAACATCTTTTCTGCTCCAACCCTTCTACCCTAAAATTTTAGCCCGGAATTATTAAATAATGAAATTAGCCTAAATTTTTTTCTTAAATCAATTTTTTTTTAAAAATAAATATGTAGATTATTGTAAATTAATTTTATGAACATTTTAATCTAAAAAAATTTAAATTCCGATAAACATTTCGCATTTAGCCCGGGGGGAAAGCTGGGGGGTATTTGGCCCAGAAATAGCATTTGGCATTTAGCCTAAAATTTTAGCATGGGTTGGAGAGTGTTTGGGGGGGGTAATTTGGCTTTTAGCCCAGGGTTGGAGATGGTCTAATGAGATTAATTTTACTTATCTAATTTTCGCAATTGCCAGTTGAGTCATATTTTTTTTTATTATGCTCCCCATTACAATTTAATGCTAAAGAGATAATCAAGTATGATTTTGTTTCAACCTGGGAAAGTTTATGGAGTAAGTATAAACCAACGGGAAGAGTCGACGAAAGTTTCCAAGAGATTGCATTTGGTCTGTTGATGGTGTGGAAGCGTAGGAATGAGATGGTATTCCAAGATGCACGTAGAACACCATTGGAGGCCGTGAATCTTTGTAGAACACTACTGGAATTCCGAGGTGCTCAGAATGCTAGCTTGGGTGGACATGTTATGCAGCGGCGGACTGAAAAGGCTGGGGATGTGGAGGTGCGGGGGGGACAAGCAAACGGTAGCCAAATGGATGACCCGAGTTCGAACGATTAAATTTAATTGTGATGCGGCGTGGAGTGCAAAAACTGGGGGTGATGGGGTGGGACGGGATTTTGCTGGGCTGCTACGCGCAGCGGGAGGGCATGGAGGGAGGTTTCAGTCGGCTGCGGTGGTGGAAGCCACCGCTATACTGGATTCTCTGGGCTGAATCAGATGCGAAGTTGGCGCAGAAGATGGATTCAGTGAAGTTCCTATTCGTACCTAGGGGTGGGAACCGTGCTGCGGACGCTGTAACTTCCTACTTTCAAAATCATGGAGGGTCTATGGTTGCCTTTGGTACACGGGACGGGACGGAATAGGGTGGGATGAGGCGTTCCGTCCCACGTTTGGTGAGCCTAAAATGAGTGGAACGCCTCGTTCCACGGGACAAGTTTTTGATGATTTTTGGTTCCACCTCCCCCCCATGGAACGGCTTGTTCCACGTCCGTGGGACAGAAATTTACAACATTTTAAGACAAAAATGCCCCTTGTCTTTTTCAAATTTTACATCATCACAATCATACAACAAACCCTAAAAACTATCTTCTCTTCTTCTCAGCCGTTGTGAACCTCTTCACCTCTGCATCTCCCCTTCGCAACCTTCCTCCTCATCTTCTTCCGTGTAGCCTCTTCACCTCTGCATATCCCCTTCGCAACCTTCCTCCTCGTCCTCTTCCGTGTAGCAGCTCTGCATCTCCCCTTCGCAACTCTTTCGTGTAGCAGCTCTGCGAGCCTTCCTCCTCATCCTCTTCCGTAGCATCTTCAGCTCTGCATCTCCGTTCCAGGTTCGATCTGTTTTTGTGTAGCTCTCGGTCTATCTTTCTTTGTAAAAAAATTTCTTTGTAAAAAAATTTCTTTGTAATTTGATGGCATTATAGTGAAAACCAATTGTTCAAATGTTTTTTATTTGTTCTCTGTAAGGGCTTTATGTGGTTGACATTTCCACAGCCCAGTTGTCTTCTTCTTACTATTATTCTTTATCTCTCTATTTTTTTCTTTCAATCTATTTAATTTAGTCGTTCAATTTTATCTCTCTATTTTTTTCTTCGAATCTTTTTAATTTAGTCGTTCAAATGTGTTCAAATCTGTTTTTTCAGAGCAGCCAGCCTCCGCCTCTCTATTCTTTGTTCTTCCCATATTTCATATCGAAACCCTAGCTTAATCTCCCAAATGGGCAAATCAAGCAAGAAATCTGCCACCAAAGTATGCTTCTTTTGAACTGCTTTCGCTTCGTCAAGTCTTTGATTTTGATTCGATGATTTCGTTAACTAATTGGGTTTTGATTTTCCTTACAGGTTGAGGCTCCCGCTGTAGTTGTTCCAGCTCCTAAGTCTGGAAAGAAAGGTTTCGATTCTTTTCGGAGTTTTGGGATGTTGTTGTTTTGATTTAATTTTATTTATTCTTTGTGCTGTGAGGAAATGGTGTTTTTATCCGTCGATAGTGTAGTTTGAAGTTTAAATTTTGCATATTTGGTTTGTTTTGATTTACGATACTAAATTTTTGCGTTTCAGAACTTGCTCAACCAAGTCTGAGGAGATTTGGGTAGACAGAGCGTTGAGGGAGAGCTCCAAGTCATGGTGAGGGTTCTTGTGGTCGCTGAGGATGCGGGAGAACTCGCTTACAAGGTGCGGTGATGGTGGAGATGGCGGGTTGTGGTGGGTGAGAGAAGAGAAGGGGTGGCGATGAGTGTTGGGTTTGGAGGGTGAGGGAAGAGAGTGGAAGATAGAGTGAAGGGTTTTGGGTTTAGAGGGGAGAGATCTCATGGACATTTTGGTAGGTGGGTAAAGAAGAAGAAGAAGCAGCAGTGTCACTCTGGATTTTGCTTGTCTTTATGTTGCCGTAAGAAGGGTTTTGGGTATTTTAGTCATTTTAATCTTTTGGTTCCGTTCCGTCCATGCACTACCAAACGCAGGACAGAACAACCGTCCTGTTCCGTCCTTCGCGTACCAAACATAACACAGAACATCTGTTCCGTCCCGTTCTGTCCTGTCCCGTCCCATCTGTGTACCAAACGCTATCTATGGTATGGGATTGTATAGGGCTTGATGGCCTGATTTTTATTTTATTTTTTTACATCCATATTTTTATACTAAGGGGAGGGGGAGTTCGACTAAGCAATGATAATTTCGACCTTAGTATTCTATTATGCAATGACAATTTCGACCTTATTAGGTTTTAAAATAGTAAAAAATTTCTAATACACCCTAAATCACTTTTAACGTATTATTTATCTTCTTCAACTCTCAAAACAACTCTCACCCACCATTGTAGAGAAAACCCTAACTAATGAAACTACAAACACATTGTGGAACAAAAAATAATCACAAGGCGACACGTGGATTTTTGGGTGAAAATGACAAAATTACCCTTGAGGCACATTAGATTTCCTACGTGCTAGTAGTGGACAATCATCCCTCAATCATTTTGTAGGTGCAATTTTGTCCAAGATCAAGGAGGAAGAAATTTGCATCCACAAATTGGTGTTTTCATTGAGAGAAGAGTCACACACTCGTAGAAGACTCTTGCATCAAAAGCTTTTCTTTTTTCTTGTCCATTTGTAGATTTTTTGTACATTCTTATTATTAGAATTTTTTATTTGCAAAGATTATTTGATAAAACGTAAAAGAGAAATACAATGGCTAGAAATTTAGAAAATTCCACAAGTGAAAATTCCAATATTCAAGAAATAAGACCACGACGATCCACGAGGCTAAATGTGATCATAGGAGCAGCACCATTGCTATAGGGCTCCACCATGGCAACCACCGTAGTGGCCACCACGGTTACCACTACCCGTAGCGAGGTCTATGGTATCGCTACCACGGCCCGAGCCATGCCATCCAAGGCTCACGACACTAAGGCCACGACCCAAGCCATGTCATTCCAAGCCCAACATGAACTCAATGCGTTGCCAAGCCGAGCCCAAGCTTCGTACCCGTGTGCATCACACTCCGAGCAGCCTGCTCTTGTGGCCCAGCCTGCTCCCGTCGAATAACCCACTTTTGTGGCCCAACCTGCTCTCATGGCCTTGCCTGCTCTTGCCAAGCAGCCTACTCTCGTGGCTTTCCAAGCAGCCCAAATCGATTCAAGATTAGTTCAACCGTCTCGGCTTCAAATTTTCGGACCGACGATCAAACTGGGAGATTTTCACCACATTTGTCTGCGTATTTGACATTTCTCAACTCAAAACTCGCACCCGGAGTTTACCACACTTCCACTGCTCAAGAAGAAACATTCCTTCCAAGCTATTCCCATCCAAATGGAGAACAACGCTTGTCTCGACAAGTCATAG